TTCAGACCAAAGCATCTTACTCTGCTTTTAGAGAGCAGTGTCCACAGCCCATGAGATTTCAAAGAATGGTAATATTTTCTTCCAGGTAATTTGTCAAATATCTCATTATGGTATCAACTGGAAGAATTAAGTCATGGACACTGCCATCTAGAATGAAGGGTTTCCTAATGTCTTATCTGGACATTAGGAAAGCATCACACAGCTCTCATTTTACATTTTAAAATGGTATCCTCTCATCAGTATGATTGCTGTAGAGTAGAATTATACTAGCACCTAGTATCTATGTATTTCATTCAATCAATATTCAGCAAATACTTTCTCAAAGTCAGGCACTCTGCTGGGACTATAGCAATGAACAAAACAGAAAAAAATCCCTTCCTTTATGAACCCTATAGTCTTGTGGGAGAAATAGACATTCAATGAACGAATCCGTATGTTTGAATGCCAGAACAAAACACCTTGAAGGCAGCTGTGACTCAGTGGAGCTGCAGACCATGACAGAGGGGGATTCATGGCAACAGTCCATACAACACTGATGGAATCTGAAAAAACAATGGAGGGTCTAAAACAACAACAGAATAAAGATAATGAAAAGATGAGGAAAATAGAGAATAGAGAAAAACAACAGGGATGGAGGAGTGTTTGTGTGTGTGTGTGTTACATGGGGGAGTGGCTCCCACTCTAACTCATAACTCTAACTCTTAACTCTAACTCCCACTCTAACCTATTATTTCTCATAAAAATTAAATTTGTGAGTCCATTAGATTTCCAGTGGTATGAAACCTTAGCATAGATCCTAAGCACAGATGCTCTGAACCTAAGCATAGATCTAAACTCAGGTAAATCACATGTCAAGCACTTTCTACAAGATGGTATTGGCTCAGGCAAGACACCAATGTCATATGCAGCAGCAGGATCCAGGTACATATCTGATGACATAAATCCAAGAGAGAACATAATGCTTTTTGGATGACTGTTTTGAAGTAAATCTACTGCCTTTCCACTGCTTTTTCAGGTTAGTAGGAACTTTAGAGGGTTTATGTTGGTCAGGCTAAGACTGCTGCTCTGGGATTTCTTTTTTTTTTTTAAGATTGATTTATTTATTTATGCATACAAGAACTGGGGTATAGGCCAGAGATGTGGGGGGAGGGGAGGCTGTGAGAGAGGATTCACCAGAGTGAGGAGAACCTGCACATCTACTGAAATACACTGCTGAGGGGAGCAGCGCACGAGACAGGAGAGGTCCTTTGCAGCATATGGGCTAGCTCCCTGGCCGGGGATTGAACTCATGCTGCAGTGGCTGGCGATAGCTTGATGGTGCTGAGATTTAACCCCTTGCGCCACCAAGGAGGCCCCTGCTTTGGGATTTTCATGGCCTCACTCCAGCACATTGCCTCCCCGCCCAACCTGTAACACAGTCTTAGGTCCTGATTGTGTACATGCTCGATTGATGCTCTGTCCTTTGGAAGCGCAGCAGAAACGCGACTCAGAGAGAGGAAGAAGGGGGTGCAGGGAGTGGACCAGGACTACAGGGTCTAGGGTTCCAGCATCTGACACTAGATGACTTCATTGGTACTATGAGAATTCATCAGCACTACTGTGTTTACCTGTAGCACCTATCAGTAACTTCTGAGACAGTGAATGAGAGAATTATCCAACAAATTAGACCCAGTGACTCCCCACCCCACATCTAACCACTCGCTTTCCCTTCCAAACTTTCCTCAAGACAAGGGACATTTTTTTCCCTTTTAAATTTAAATGCATCTGGGTGTATAGGCGAAGGAAATTCTGTGGGGACTACATCTGGGGAGGTGGAGGGAAGCAAATATTGTTTAAAAATAAACAGTGATATAAAAATATATAAATAAAAAGATAAATAAATAAATAAATAATAAAAAATGCATTTAAATGCATCACAAAAGCACAGCCATTCTCTGGTTCTTGGCCTTCCTGTGTCACGGACAGTCATGAAGAGCCCGCAGACTTCAAGCACCTGTTTATTATGTACAACAATTACAAAAGCACATCTGTGAGGCAGCCAATGAAGACCAACAAAAAGAAATCATCACCCAAGTTTCCTTTCATTTAAATTCACCGAATCTCAAAAAAGCAACTAAATTCTCTATCGCTCTGTCACATACCAGGCAGTGTTCTAAATGCTTCCCGTATATTGACTCGTGCAGTCTTCGGAAGTACATCTGGAGATAGGTACTAGTATTATCCCCAAGCTACAGATGAGGAATCGAAGATGTACGGGGCATAAAGGGAATTGACCAAGACCAGCAAGTTATCGAATAGTGGAAGGATCTGAACCCAGGTCGTCTGGTTCAGAGATCACACTTTACACCACAGCTAGGCCAGCAGATGGTGTTTGTTCTTTCCTTCCTTCCTCTCTTTTTTCCTTTTCACCTACCTCCCCAGCTACTGACCCCTCACCTCTTCCTCTTGCTGCTCACTGACTCTCCAGAGACAGGCATTTCTGTACCTACAGGAAAAGCACTGGAACTTTAAAGGGTGGCACCTTTGGAGCCAAGGAGGGAAACTTTAACACTTGGTGAGTGAAAACATGATGTAAGATAAGCCCCCAAATCTAGTTTAAATCTCAAGATAATTCTCCTTGCATTTTCTCCCTAAACACTTCCTCTATCCTAGGCAGCATTGTCCATTAATTCATTAATCCTTCTGGATCTTATAGTGATCCCTTCTGCCCTTGAACACAACCAACTGTAGTGTTTCGTAAGCTAAGCAATTATCAGTCTTTATATATCCTGTGGTTGTTTTAACAGACGTTTATTTTTAAAAGAGGAAGTTTAAATAAATATTGAATGAAGGTGGAGAGGAGGTGCCTATTACAAAGTCATAAATAATGTGCAAAATCCAAGTCCTGTGTTCCACTTTGGCTAGAGAACAGTTAGTTACATTAAGTTATAATGTAAAAAGCAGATTCCCCCCCCACCCCACCCCTCAACTCCTTCAAACGTGCAGTCAGGTTAACAAGAGCTCAGGAAGTGTGTGGTTTTGCCAAGTATTATATGAGTTTTACTCTTTAATAATTCAATAGTTTCCTCAAAATTGCCACAGAAATCCCCTACCATTCCGGATTTACCGAGTACTCTGCTTTTCCATTCTAATAGATGTTTACTAAGTACTTTCAATAAAACTCTGAGATGTACTGAGGAAATGGCATCAAAGACCTGGACCATAACATGGTCTATTAAGTAGGAACTAACAGTCTTTTTGGACAGATGATTAAATGTCAGATAATTAAAACATTAAAAAAAGAAAAATATAAAGCACTACATGCTGTGACGACACTGTGAGCTACAGAATCAGGTAGAGAACAGTGTGAAACATACCAGCGCCGAAGGGCAAAGCTTTCTGACAGAGATGCCCATCAACCTGCTTTCTGGCTTTTTTCTTGCTTCATAAGACCTCTGAGTTTAGTTTATTTAAGCTTAATTTCCAACATATTCTTTTACCATTTTCTCAAAGGAGCTCTTACTTGTAGAGAACAGAAAGGTAGATATTCTGAAGAAACTGAAAAGAAATATGGAAATAGAAGTCATGCCAAAATAACAACAACCCTAATAGATTAAAACTTTAGCTGTGTGGATCTATAAACACAGGCTAAGTCATTAATCAGGATCATGAGGCCATCTTTAATAGATCCGTTCCAAGGTAGATGAGATTAGATAGCATGCTAAAATGAGCAGGGAGTGTATGTTCAAGAAAAAGAACACCACAAAATATCCCTGAAACAAATAGTTTAGACATAGTGAACCTAATTTTCTATGAGCAAATGGTAATTTTGCAAGACACTCGATTTTGAATTGGCCATGAAAGTCACTCAATCATTCAAAAATGGTTACTGATCATCCATTGTGTGTGGCTTGTGCTATTGTGGTGACTGAGACTGACAAGGTCCTTCTCCTCATGTTGGGAGAATAAATAAGCATAGTAATGCTTGGGGCGGGGATACTATGAGAGAGAATAAAGGAGGATTCGGAGGGGAAAAATTATGTATTGCTTAAGATGGTCAGGGCTGTTCTTTCCCTGTAGAACAGAGACATGAGGAAGTCAAGAGCAATCAGCTTGAAGTCCCGAAGAAAAGGCATTCCAGAAGCAAAGACTGCAGTTGGGAAACAAACTTGGGATTATATGAACAAGAAAGAGGTGGTGTGGCAGAAGCTGTGAGCAAACTAGGGACTTTATAGGGTTCTCCTGGGCTTCTAGGAGGTTTCTGAGCAGAAGGGATGTGACTGGATTTTCTCCACACCACACTCTGGCATGGGGATGAGAGGCGTGCAAATGCAGCAGAGAGGTGGGCTGGAAGCTGACCTAGTCAGACAGAGATGGGTAGATGGTGGCTAATAGGAGAGTGGTCACATTGGGGCATTAAAAAGAAAAGTTGACTTGGAGTTGCATTTTAAAGACTGACAGAGATGGCTGATGGCAGTGTCCAGCATTCAGGTGGCAGTGTCTGAATTAGCAGTGGGAGAAGACTGGTCCCAATAATACCCTCTCAGTAACAAGAGGTGGAACTTTTTTTTAATGGCACGACATTTAGTCATTAGCAGTAAAAACACAAATATATAGTGTGAGTGTTGTTAGTCATCAGCAGTGCATTGAATTTATTTTCAGAAATCTAAGTTTCAGTCAGCTAATGCCCTCAGTCCTCAACTTCATTACTATATTGTGTATGAACTCTGAGACCCTCTCCAATTCAAGTTTTCTGATTCTTTCTTGATTCTTAAATTAAAAAGAATGTAAATGCTATGAAACTGACTTCAAGGCCAAGAATCAAGAACATACACAAAACAAAGTTTCAGCAACCTACATTATTTTTTTAACAGTAATTTTACAATTTGTTTAATGCCAAGTGGCAATCAAATTAGCAGTGGCTATCCTCAAGTTATACTAGCTGTTCTGTCATTTCTTGAGGTTATTCAAAGATACCTAGAGTTACAGAATTTCCATAAAATATATAAATCAGACTTGGTTTTTATGACCAGCATCTATACAACCAGACCTAGGGTAAGTGGCCTAGGACACATGCATGGTCTTAATATAATGAATGTTTAGCTTGCCCTGACTATTTTTTTTGAAATGCCTTTTTTTTTTTAAAGATTTATCTATTTATTTATTTATTTATTTATTTTTAAAGATTTATTTTTATTTATTTATACAAGCACTGGGTACAGTCAGAAGCGCGGGAGAGTGAGAGAATTCACCAGAGCCAGAGTGGGGAGCAGAGCAGGCAGAAGGACTGAAGTACACTGCTGAGAGGAGCAGCGGGCGGCAGGAGAGGTCTGCGTGCCATGTGGGACCCTCCTCCGGTGGCAGGGGAGCAGCCGGGGATCGAACCGGTGCTGCAGAGGCTGCGGGCAGCTTCGCAACCCAGCGCTCAACTGCTGCACCACCGGGGAGGCCCTATGAGATATATCTTTAGCACAGATAACTGTGGTCATCAGAAAAATTTTTAGAGCCCCCATTCTCTCCTTTTCAACCCATCATTAAGTTCTGCAATTCTTTCCCTATCCTTTCTTACTGATTTAGCTCAGCACTAACCATGCACGACCTCCCACTTCCCCGCTTTGCTTCCCCCTTTGATAACCACTTTCCCTGCCAACCATCCAGAAAGCAGTAGGAAGAGCTGTCCACTCTAAGTACTGTTGGGATTAGGTTACCCCATGAAGGGATTTCATGTGATCTTGGTCATCCATCACATTGCAAGCTTTTGATCATGAACTGTAAATCTTTGGTTAACTTCTGATTACAAACCAACACATGTTCCTCTCAACCTCAACAGACACACACCCACACACAAAATCCCCAAGATAATCTTTTTTTCTACTTTCTCAAGCTAAACAGGTCTTTGTTTTCCTTCAAAATCTCTGCTAGAATCATCTTCTTCAGAAAGATTTCTTATTCAGGTATCTACTGTTCTCCAAACAACTTCAGTGTTATACTGCTTCAGCATTCCTTCCTCTTCTTTTTTATTTTTTGAAACATTTGGCAGTTATGTGTTTGCCATTTGCAATCAAACTTGCAAAAATGTATGGAAATTTGTTTCCTCACATTATTTAAATACTTCCATTGTATATAAGCTATAATTCCCTATTGAAGGATTAAAATGTATGAGTTTAAGACCATCTCTTGTAAAAAAAAATATATATATACACCAATATTCAACTATTTTGTTTGTTTGTTTACATAGTTGTCATTTGTGTGCAAGAGACACAGGTCCAAGCATTGGCTTTCAGTCTCTTGCTTCTGCCCGGTGCATACACACAGAAATTCACTAACCTGAGTGCTCAATCATTGTTCCTGACAAGAATTCCAGCTACTGGTAAAATATTTTTGACTTACAACATGAAGTCATAAATCATAAGAAAATTTTGCTTATTAAGAATCATTGTAAAACTAAGACCTCAAAGCTCAATCTCTTTAACTGTTTAGGAAGGAGGAAAATCACATTTTTTTTCCCTACAATCACCCTCAGTCTACTCATAGGGATTTAGGTTCATTTTGGATACCAGGCATCAATGTCAGGCCCCCAAGTTATTCTCTGTGTTAGCTCAGAAGACACATAGACTGTGAGCAATCTTGGGATGGTCAAAAATCATTTATTAGCTCTTTAACACCACATTTATTGAGGATTGACAGAAGGAGCTGGATGAGTTAAAAAGTAAACCAGAATGAAAGCAGGAACTGAAATATTCCTTATGGTCACCACCATCTGATGATGTCAGTGATTTCACCTTGACAGCATCCAATTCTTTTTTATCAAAATCCAGTGTCCATGTGGCTTAACTTAATGTCTTGGCACTCTCTGAAAACGATAATTTAAAGTGCTGACAGTCTCTTATTCTGCTGGCCTAAAAGTTTCAGTGAAAGTAGATAGTCAACGGCCTCCCGGTGGCGCAGCGGTTGAGCGCTGGGTTGCGAAGCTGCCCGCAGCCTCTGCAGTGCAGGTTCGATCCCCGGCTGCTCCCCGGCCACCGAAGGAGGGTCCCACATGGCGCAGACCTCTCCTGCCGCCCGCTGCTCCCCTCAGCAGTGTACTTCGGTCCTTCTGCCTGCTCTGCTCCCCGCTCTGGCTCTGGTGAATTCTCTCACCCTCCCGCGCTTCTGACTGTACCCAGTGCTTGTATAAATAAATGAATAAATCTTTAAAAAAAAAAGAAAAAAGAAAAAAAGAAAGCATTAAACTTATTAAAAAAAAAGAAAGTAGATAGTCAATATAACATACCGATTGATAATACAGACCTTCATTTTATCTAGCAACTCTCAATAATGTATTCTCAACAGATCACAGAGACTTTTGTTGGATATTCAAGTATTTAAGGAAATCAGACCTGAGAGCTATCTGTGGCTGCTGACCCCAGGCCCCTGGAATTGTCTCTTTTAGATTCCACAGCACCAGGCTCCTCAGCATGCTCGCTGCCCCACTGTTCACGTCCCTGTATAGTCATAGGTAAGTGGCTGCACAAGAAAAAGAACGGCAGCCCCATGTATGAAGAGACAAATGAAATTTAATTATTTTATAATATGCACTATGTATTAATATATAATAACTGTACATTGACTATCATACTAATTCAGTCTCCTAAAAAATAAATCTACTTTTACCTCATCCTAGGAAAATGTATATGCCAGTGAAAACTCATCATCAATTTGTAGACTAATGAGTTATTTTTCTCTTTTCTCCTTATGTATAGTTTGTATTTTCTAATTTCTCTCTACCTACAGGCCAGAGAAAAGCGGAATGCACATCCTATTTGCTACTTAATGATGCTTTTGATGAAAAGGTTTAATAGGAAAAATAAGAAAGTGAGAGAGAAAGGGAGGGAAAAATAACTGAGTACTGGTTGTACTTATTTTACTAATGAGAGGATTTGGGGAAATCTCTGTATAATATTTTATTTCCTCTTTTGATTGAAAATGAAATAATAGCTTTCCTATAACAATCTTAATGATGTTTTGAGGAGAGAAAAAAAAATATGGCATTTATCAAAATGTCTGAATTTTTAGGAAAAGATACATTGATATATTACTATTACTATTAAAATAATGCTTGTCTATTATTTGAGTATTAAATATTAATACTTATATTCAAATAGCATTAACACGAGACTATTATGTAGCTGTAGTTAACAAAATGTTTTTATTAAACTTTACTTTGCTTGATGGTTTCTGCATTATCTCAGTCAATATCTCACATAAATAACTCTAGGTTGATCATATTTTAAGGTTCACTGGAAGCTTTCATAATGAGGTTTGATCCATACCTTTCTTCTTCTTGTAAAAGTAATAGCCATTGTTTGGTTGAAGGATAAAAATAATATGCTATTTTTTTAATCCTTGAGACATGCCTGTTAGATACATAAACATCAGCCACAGGCCTAGAAACTTCAGTGGGAAAGCAAGCGACCCCCATGGAGTCTCAAGTGGCAGCACTTCAATGCCAGCTGCTCTGGTATGTTCAGAGAAGGGCATTTCTACCTGCTCCTCAAGAAGAGAACTTCTAGCATTGTAAATCTTAAATTAGAATGTTTTAGTGATACCATTTTCATAATTTATGGTACTTCTATCCCGAGCTCGCTCCAAATTTGCTTAGGAAAATATCTTTCCTGTCTTGGTTCTATCATCATAATATGGGAGAATGATCAAATAAGATCAATGATCCTTCTGAGCAAAGAAGCTCTTTTGCTGGGAACTAACATCAAGGGCTGTCACAACCCTAGAAGGAAATGTGTCTCAGCACCTGGTAGCCAATGTAGGTGAAGGTCATTCTCACAGCACAAGCTGGTGAGGTCACGGATGGTTGCCAAAGAAGCACAAACTAATGGAAACACAATTCCGGGGAACATTGCATTTAGCTCAGCATTGGCCTGTTTGGGTGAACAACAAGAACGGTAAAACATGAAAAGCTAAGTACAGCTAATGCTTGCTGAGCATTTGCCATGTACCAACGCTGGGCTAAGTGCTTCACATGTTAGCTCATGTAATCCTCACATCAACACTGGGCTACCAGTACTAACTGTCTTTATGCTTAGTTTTACAAATGCCTCACAGCTAGCTATTAACTATCAGAGAGAGATCTCACAAGGAGCCAGAGACCACATTTGGACCCCAGAACCACACAGACTCCGCCACAGTGAGAAGACAGTACTGCATCCACTATCCTGGAGTACCTACCTGCCTTGTATATTCAGTTGTTCTGTCACTCTGTCCCTGGAGGAATTGGTGTAGACTTAGATTCAGCAGTGGTTATTCACACTTACCAGCTGTCATATGGGGTATAGTTTGGGGAACAGAGACAACAATCTAACTGCAGCAAACAACCTGACCTTCCACTCTAAGAAACTAGACAAAGAGGAGCAAACTAAACCTGAAACAACAGAAAGCAAGAATGAAACTGAATAAGATAATTTTAGACACTACACAAAAAGCATACAACCATAAAGTAATTAAATTGCAGTTTGCCAAAATTAAGTTTTTGTACCTCAAAGGGCATCATTAAGAAAGTGAAAAGTCAACCCATAAAATGGAGTTATCTTATTTTTTGTTTGTAAATTATTACTCTAATAAAGTATATGTATCTAAAACATAAAAAGAACTCTTTACTCTCGATAATAAAAAGACAACTCAAATTAAAAATAGGAAAAGGCTCTGAATAGACAATTCTTCAAAGAGGAGAGACAAAAGGCCAAAAAGTACATAAAAATACTCAACATTAGAGAAATGCAAAGTAAAACCACAATGAGATACCACCTCACACCCACTAGGATGACTATAATCAAAAGGACATAATAATAACCTTTAGCACGTATGTGTTGGAGCCCTCTGCACTGCTGGTGGGAATGTAAAGAGTGTAGCCCTGTGGAATTGTCTGAAAGTTCCTCCAAAGGATGAACACGGTTATCACATGACCCAGCAATCACACTCTGAATTGCGAGAAAGGAATACTTAGAAACACAAAAAAATTGTACATGAATAATCATAGAATGATCATTGTACATGAATGATCATAGAAACTTAACAGCAAACAAGTAGAGATAATTCAAATGTCCACTGAATAAATACATTTTTTAAAGTA